GGACACGGTGTATGAATTTTTCACAGATCTCAGGATAGATGGGAAAACATGATAACATGGAACATGGTATTTTTTCTTAACCATGATGAAGAAGATTAGGGGGTGAGGGGTTGCAGGTGGAATGTTGTAGGCATGATATGACCACATTGTGATGAGTTGACATCAGTGGCTTCATTCACATTTCCAGCCTGTGAGTTTCCATTGAATTTTGGTTAATCATGCTGCTAATGTAGCCTACTCTAACTTAGCACCAATTCTACCACAGGTCTGTCAGCAATAATAGATAAAAAACACAATTTAACATCCAGTACTAATGGAAATGCATAGTTTGTCATTATGTGCATTAACTGTGGACCAAATTCGACAGTGAATAGCAGTGAATGCTCATAGTAAATCAAGGTAAACCAAAACAAGGTAAACCAAAAAGCCTTCTTCCAATGGGCGTCCACGTCTTGATTGTCCCCTGTAGGTGATAGGTCAGTGCAATGCCTTTGACAGATGATGTCATTGTCTGGTGCAGTGTGGTGAGGGTGAAAATAGCATAGAGGGTTACACAGTTTCAGTTAGAAGTTGAAGCTTGTGCACAGTTCACGCACAGTTATAAGGTTTGAAGTGACTCATGAAATCATACAGGAGAGAAGCCAGTCAGAGTTTGGGGCAAAACCTTTTAAATTCTTTTACTGCATATGATAATTCACAGTCAGAAAATCGAACGGAAATGACATTCATCTAAAGATGATTAGTTAAAACATTTCAAAATGCATTGCATTTGCATGGCTGGAAAGTTAAAGTCCGCCCAGTGGAGGTTGGTTGTAGAGGATAGTGATGGCAATAGTGGCTCTTTCAACAGAGCCGAATCTTATGGCTCCATTCCTTTCACAGAGCCATTCAAAATAACAGCTCATTGTTCCTTTCTCCCCCCTTTTTTAAAAACATGTCTGTGGTGTAATCTAAGTGCATTCGGTTTCAGATCTGTGTGTCTGTTTGACCAAGGGCGGGGCTTAGCTACACACACATGGTGCAGGCCAAAATGGTCACATAAAATCATTCTGGCAGGATTGTATGAAGGTATGTCCATATATATTTGTGCTTCAGAATATAACCATCATGAAAAAAATCTGAAAATGTTTTATTTTTCTGATTACCTGCTTTATTTCACTTGCGCCATTCCATCTAGCTTGACCATTGCTGCTCTGTCTTTCTCTTAGTGAAGTGAATTTAAAACACAAGCTGTGAAATTTGGCTCTTTAGTGGGATTTGGATCCCTTTGTTCCTACCAATGAGCCATTGAACAGAATCAGATTGTGTGCAAACCTAACCTCACTAGTATGGTATTTGTAGCCAAATGTGTGAATGTGTGAGTGTTTGAGCGTGTGAATGGATGAATGGCCAAATAGTGTGAAAGTGCTTTGAGTGTGCTGTAAAGCATAGAAAGGCGCTATACAAATATAAGACCATTTACCATTTACCAAATCACCTGTCTCTCTGTTAGGTGAGCTGAGTATAAATAGGCTGAGCCTAAGACAGATTCAGGAACATAGATGAAAGTGTAGCAAGGTCCAGTGAATGGCGCTGAAGCAGAAGAAAGGTATGTGAATGGGCTAAAGATAGGTACTGTAAGTACTTTGAACAAATTGTAAACTTCAGCATATGTGTGAATTATGCCTGCTGAGCTAAAGTACACTAGCACAGGAGGGCATGCTTAACAAAAATGTTTGATACATGCAGTAGGCTCGAGGTCTACTTACTGGTGTTAGCATAAGCAAGCTAACATGAGAACATATAGGTTCGTCTGGTTTGTTGGAGTGAATAGCAACACAGGGTGGATTCTGATGCAGCATAAAAGGAAGGAGAAGTCTGGCTAGTTATCTGGTGAGCTATTTGAAATGTTTGGTAGCAAGAACAGTAGTTGAAATGTTTGCTAGTGCTAGGGACTGTTTGTTAACAGTTAGCCTGAGTAGACGAAAAGGTTGTGTTGGGTGTGTGGGTGCAGGCAAAGAGTGGGGTGGTTCTAGGACACTGGAACACACTGTTGAACCTTTTCGGTATTGTGGGCCCAACTCAACAAAACACCAGTTAGTGAGAAGGTGCCCACCTGATGACTTGTTTGTATTTGTATTGGTGTTGGTGATAATATAGTTATTAGGGTTATCACTTTTTATTTGAATTTCAAACACTTGTTTGAACAAGGAAAAAAACAAAAGAATGATAGAAATTCAAACTGTAATGTTCAAATCCAACAATGTACTTTTATGTCAAAAAGTGCATCAGGCTGTTTGATGTAATTTCCCTTTTGGTCCAGCAAAATTTACTATCAGCTTGACCAGCTACGTCCTGTTGACCTCTCAGTAAAGTAAGAATTAGAATTAGAACATTAGAATCAGCTTTATTGGCCAGGTGTGACGGACACACAAGGAATTTGACTCTGTTACATCAGCTCTCAATGTGCAAACAGTAAACTAGTATAAGGCTGTGTAATATAACAAAATAAGCAGTATTAACAAGCAACACTGACAGCAACAAACAGTGCAAACAATGCAGTATAAGCAGTATGAACAGACAGCAAACAATGCAGACAACAAAGGAATGTCCGTTGAATGAGCTAAATAAGAAGAAAAACTGAGTACTTAAGAACTAGAGACCTGTAAGAATCTGTATAATCTGTACAATGTATATATACACAGGTATTTCACTGAGGGTTATTGTCCAATCATACTGTCGTTGGTTAAGTGTTCATTAGAGCGATAGCCTGGGGGAAGAAACTGTCCCTGTGCCTGGTTGTCTTGGTGCACAGTGACCTGTAACGCCGTCCAGAGGGGAGGAGTTCAAACAGATTGTGTCCAGGGTGTGAGGGGTCTGCAGTGATCCTCTCTGCCCTCCTTTTGACCCATGAGGTGTTCAGGTCTTCCATGGAGGGCAGGCTCACACCAATGACCTTTTCTGCAGTCCTGACTGTCCGCTGAAGTCTGTACTTGTCCTGTTTGGTTGCTGAGCCAAACCAGACAGTGATGGAGGAGCAGAGAACAGACTCAATGATTCCTCTGTAGAACTGTATCAGCAGCTCCTGGGGCAGGTTGAACGTCCTGAGCTGGCACAGGAAGTACATCCTGTAAGTAAGGTGGTGACATTATGTTTGCAAGGACAAAATGCTTCATTTTAGCAAACAAAGTTGTGCTGATCGGACAATAATGACATTCGAGTGGTGTCAAGGTAAAACGGTTTGCTGACTCTGTAACAAAACAGATGCCAAGTAAAACAACTCATCTGAGGAATCACCTGCAGTCTCACAACCCAAGTGAAGTACTGAGGTTAATATTACCACAGATGAGTGGAGCAGTGTCTGTTCTACAGCCTCACCTGACTGTCTTACCCTTGCAACATGTCATGATAACTTAGCTAAGCTCTCCTGACACAGCTTATAAACTATTAATATGAAGTTTTTCATTTTTTTATTTCTGGTGGGTGGTGGCATTATGTGGGTTGTGTTCAAATTAATTCAAACAAATCACGTGTCAGTTCAAACATTGTTCAAATGTGATTTGTGGAAAAAGTAACAGCCCTAATAGTTACTGACTCACTGGGGCTGTGAGTAGTGTATTCTTCTTTTGCTTGACAATCTTGGTAGAACAGTGTCAGTTTTTGGAAAACTGAGCAAATGTGGTTCTCAGAGGTGACTGCCATTACAAGCTATTTGGGCCAGCCACTGCTTAATCTGAGCAAATAAAATGCAAAAGCTGTGTCAAGCCTCATATTTGCTCTTTGCTTGTGTGAGGATATTCTAAGAGTAGGTTAGGTCTGGAAAATGATGTTGCTTATTGTGGGGCTCTGAAGATTTATGACGGCATGGCCTGACACCCCCTCATTGGGGCCAAATAATGGGTGAACATCATTTAACTCATACACTGAGCTTTCAAATGAATGCTCTTTGGCACATTTAATTTTGTATTATTGATTGACCATATAAATATGTGTTCTAAAAATATGTCCTGAAGTGTGTGTGTGTGGTGATGGTGGGAGTTCTCCATGAAATGAGTTTTTGCAGGGTGAGATGTCTGCATTCCTGTCTGTGCTGTCCCTGCTTTACACGGCATGAACTCAATGATTACGTTGTCTAGTGGAAATGAGGATACCCTGATCAGAAGAGCATCTAAGGTCTAAAAAAGGTCTATTGAAGTAGCTCACCCACAGTTTGAGTAGCTCAAATCTAGAGATGTTTATGAATGAAGGAAGAAAAGAAAATATCTTGTACTGTATTTACTGCTATACTGTGCAATTTGAATTTTAACATTCAGTATAAACTATATCTGCTATAAGCTATGAACTAGTTATAAAGAGAATAATGAAAAAAAATTATATAAAAACTAAACAGCAGTACTTTGGTTATTTAATTAATTAATTTATTTTTTATTAATATTCAGTTTTTGTTCTAACTTAATTAGGCTTTCCAATTTTCAGGCTTTGTTGCTGTAGTGGACTGGAGTGTAACATGAAAAGGTTACAAAATACAACTTCCTTCACAAACTACAGTAATAAAATAATCACAAATGAACTAATAACAGCTATTACATGCTATAGCTGTGTGTGTGTGTGTGTGTGGGGGGGTTAACTCACTTCTCAATATGATCAGCCATTGAGGACTTAACAGCTAGTGTGCAACACAGTCAGTGCTCAATGCTACAATGTTAAAAAGTTGGATGATGATGTAACAGTGTAGGCTATGACCACATCCTCAATTACTGTAAATCTATGTGTGTATGCTGTCTGTGTGATACAGAGAGAGGGGAAGATACCTTCATTATAAGTATTTACAGTCGAAAAATAAAAAAATCTGCATGAGTGAACAAAGGCATATCAGCATACATTTAACACATCCAGTAGGAAATGGCGTAAAGCCTGTCCGCCATTGCTACTCATTGCTTCTTCTTCCACCTAGTAGAGCCCATTGTAGACACACAGACAAGCAACAAATGACGTAGGGCTCATGCTGCGAAAATACCGACGTGTTTTTACGAAGATTTCGAAAAACAGTAATGCCAGCATAATTCCAGTTTAGTGATAGCCGATATAACTACTGTCTACGAAAAAAGTAATTTAAGGCACTAGTTTGGTATTTGACAAGCAATACATATTCATCCGCTTCTACGTGAGTGTCAAGACCACAGCAGTACCCGGATGGACTGTCATGGCCGCCGTCGCTGTGGTTCCACAGAGAGGAGAGAAAGAAGACAAATGTTTGTGCTATGTTTTTTTTAAGCTTAACCATCTTTTAATAATGTCGGACGTTGATGGGACGCTGCCAGAACTTCCATCGAGTTCATAGTAAGAAACACTAGATTTTCCTTAACTTTGAATATCTTCGCGTGGGTGGAGGCTTTATTTTGGTGTAAAACAACTGGTTATTAAACTCAACAGACATTAACATTGTCTCGAAGTAGCACGCATATTTTTCATGCATCGGGAGGTAAATTGATGTTGTGTGTTAAAATATCACAGCGTACATTCTGGTGTCCATTGTTAAGGTCTGTCTACAGCCTTTAATTCTCTCACTGATGCAGCGTTCCCTCGCGTTTCATAAAGTTCAGCGTCTATGGAGCAAGCACTCGGAAAAGTAGACCTAAATTAAATAATGACATAGCCTACAACTGTAGTGCTCAAATAGAGATTTACATTTATTAAACACGTTGTACATATTTCTTTGTGATAAGAGGCTGAGTGGAATTGTAGTTTTGAGACTGCAACTTTTCCTCTCATCTTCAAGCTTCCATTATATCTGTCCCGTCTCGATGGAGTCGGCCTAGTTATTACCTGTGTGCAGTCCAGGTGTTTACTGCTCAGTGGATTAATGCCCCATTCACAGTTTTTGCATTACTAGTAACCAGTTTTATTAGAAATATCTAAAGCTACACACTCCCATATTTGTAGTTTAATTTGATTTGAATAATTTCCATCTATTTTTCAGATATGTTATGTACATAGGCTAAATTATTTAGGTCTGAGTGTTTGCAATCACAATAGTAGCAAAAGTGACAAATTCTTAGACTGAAGTAGCTGTTGAAACAAAGTCATGAAGTATTGGCAGCCATTTTCCCCAACATGGCTTCCTTGGTTCCAGTGTTGACAGGGACATGTAGCCTAGTGATGCTGATGTATAGGGAACTCCAAAATGTTCAAAGTTAAATAAGACATTATTATGAAGTGAAATAGATGCCACAGTCTGTAACACTGAAACTAGGATTTGAAAGCTTGAAAATAAGTTTTGAGCGTGTAAAATGTGTTTTAAAAATTAAAGTTAAGTTTCAAACATCGGAAAGTAAGATTAGGATGTCTGAAAAATTGTACCATTCTTTTCAGTATGATCGGTTTTGAAACTTGTAGGGGTGGGAGAAAAAAATCGGTTCATATTGGAATCACATTTCATATGGTTTACAATCTAAATTGGTTCACAAATGCTGAAAATGGGTGTTTATAATAATGTTGATGGAACAAAAAAAGGGGAACTCAACCGTGAAGCCAGTATAGCACACGGACAGCGTACAGTACATACAAGTGATGTGTTGTATATCTAACGTTATGGTTGTAACATTAATTTATCTTCAGAAAAGGAAATCATTTGCATTTGTGTTAATGAACTGATAATGATCCTTGAAATAAGTGTGGAGGACTGTGCGAATCCTTCATAGCTCATCGCCAGCAGACTGAGGTTAGCATAGTGAAGCAGAGAACATATTAACAAACAAGACACCAACACACTGCAGCACTTCAAAGTGGTTGGGCAAAGAAAAGACTTCCTTCCTACAGGCCTGTGCCAGTTTTGGGCCTTGCTGGCTTTCTCTGGTAGTAATGCTGCAGCAGAGACACTGTTCTCCACTGCTGCAAATGTAATGTTAACGATAACACAACCGAGCGCTCTGCTTTCTTCTTCCCCGTCCCCTTTACAACACATGTGTAGCTACCAAAAACCAGCAGTAGAAGAAGTACTCAGCTTGTTTATTGAAGTAAAAGTAGCAGTACTACAGTGTAAAAATATGCTAAGTAAAAGTCTTGCAATCAAAATGTTAAGTAAAAGCACAGAAGTATTAGCAATAATTATCTTAAAATACTAAAAGCTAAAGTACTCATTTTGCAGAATGGCACATGTATATTATTGGATTATAGTTATTGATGCATTGTGTTCATCACATATGATAAAGCAGCTGGTAAAAGTGAAGCAAATGTTTTTAACCTAATATACTTTTAATTTCAAGTACTTTACATACTGCTGGGTAACAGTATGTAAAGTCAGTGTTTTCGTTGGTAACGTTCAAACGTGGTGGCTCACCACAGCAACATCTTTGCTGCCACAGGAAAAAAATCTATCCAACCAATCAATCATTTAATTAAGCGCCTCAGTAACAACAGGTTGAGTCACATACACAGGTACAGTTAAGGTCAATTCAGACAGAGCACATTTTTAGATGCATTTTTCACACAACAGATAGAACTCTATTCTATGAAATGTCTCCCTGATACACATGTGAGCCATGTGTTACCTGTTTTATGTTTCAGGTCTGTTTTCTCTGGCGCGTTGAGTGTAGCATAATCTCCACACACTGCTGTTTACGTCACCCAAGTCCTCAGTTATTTTCTGTTGCAGACTCTTTTTTTTTTTTTTTATTTTTTACTGAATTCTGTTACGATTACATTCACAAGGCCTACATGAACACTATTGTTGTCTGGCACAATAATGCTGATTGTCGGCCTGGTGCAGACCAGTTGTGTGTCCACTGTCCTTACAGCTCATCAGGACCTGGTGGCTGACAAGGTACTTTGTAGCTGAATGTCAAACGTCATGTTTCACTTTCAGTTGGGCTATGGTTACGTTGTTGAGTGAAGCACCAACCAATGAACTGTTGAGAACTTTGCAACCGCTTAAAAAAATATTTAGATTATAACTGTCACTGAAAAATAACTAGCTAATTCATTAAGTGTTTGGTCACCTCCATAGAGGGAACGTGGATTAGGGATGGAAGATGGAGCTCAGAGAAGGACAGATGAGAAGTCAGGCTCACAAATACTCAATTATGTAATTAGCCAATTATGTGGCTTCTAGTAGAATGTAAACCAGTCAACTGACAGAGATGCATATAGAACATTTCCACTGGTCACACTTATGTAAATAAGTAAGTCAAGGCCCCTTCAGACAAGCAACCATAGCCAGGAATTTACCAGGTACTTCTTGTCTAGGTGTCAGAATCAGAATCTGCTTTATTGGCCAGGTGTGTTGGACACACGAGGAATTTGACTCTGGTACATCGGCTCTCAATGTGCAAACAGTAAACCAGCATAAGGCTGTGTAATATAACGAAAATAAGCAGTATTTACAAGCAACAAACAGTGCAAACATTGCAGAATAAGCAGTATGAACAGACAGTAACAATGCAGACAACAAAGGAATGTTCTTTGAAATGAGACAAACAGGGATAAAAATAGAGTACTTAAAATGGAGTACTAGAGACCTGTAGGAGTCTGTATAATCTGTACAGGTATTGCACTGAGGGTTATTGTCCAATCATACTGTCGTGGGTTAAGTGTTCATCAGAGTGACAGCCTGGGGCAAGAAACTGTCCCTGTGCCTGGTTGTCTTGGTGCACAGTGACCTGTAACACCGTCCAGAGGGGTGGATGGGGGTGCAGAGAATAGACTCGATGATGAACTGTATCAGCAGCTCCTGGGGCAGGTCGAACTTCCTGAGCTGGCTCAGGAAGTACATCCTCTGTTGTGCCTTCTTGGTGATGGTCCTGATGTTAGAAATCCACTTCAGGTCCTGGGAGATAGTGGAGCCCGGGAACTTGTAAGGCTTTACTGCTGATACAGTGCTGCCAAGTATGGTGAGTGGGGGCACTGTGGAGGGGGCTCTTCCTGAAGTCCAATGTCCTCTCCACTGTTTTGAGCGTGTTCTGCTCCAGGTTGTTGCGGCTACACCACAGGACCAGCTGCTCAACCTCCCATCTGTGGGCTGACTCGTCACCGTCTCGAATGAGACCAATGACCGTTGTATCATCAGCAAACTTTAGGAACTTAACAAAGGGGTCCTTCTAGATGCAGTCATTGGTGTAGAGTGAAAACAGCAGAGGGAGAGCACACATCCCTGGGGGGCACCTGTGCTTATTGTCTGGGTGCTGGATGTGGTTTTCCCCAGCCTCACCTGCTGCTTCCTGTTTGTCTGAAAGCTCATAATCCACTGACAGTTGGGGGCAGGCATAGTGAGCTGGGTCAGTTTGGAGTGGAGGGATGATGGTGTTGTGTCTGAACCAGGGGTGGGAATGTTTGCAGATTTTCATAAACAAGTACTCACAGATTTTTGACATGCGAATTACAGTGTGCCTGAGGGGTGTGGGTGCGACGATGACAGGTTTCATTAAATTTGGAATCCAACATTTTAGTGCTTTTGTTAACACTGTACGGAAAGTATTTTGCACTTTTTTTATAAAGGGTCTATTCTTGAACAGATATTTTTTTATTTAACAATTCACCGCATAGAACCATTGCAAAAGCATTGGTTAAATGAATGCATTTATTTTTATAATGTGGAAAATACATGGTGGGCCACGGAAAAGTAGCCCATGTACCCGTATTGCCTGTAGCACCAGTACTGGAGGCAGGCTACGTTTCTGTGGCCCACCCTGTAGATTTCTGCAAGATTTTTCTACATCTGATTAATCATAGAAATAATTGACAGATTAATTGGTTATTAAAATTGTTGTTAGTTGCAGCCCAATCACAAATATATATTCTGTAGCAATGCATGCTGGCACCCATGCACCACTGGTTAATTTGTTGGTAAACTAGGATATAACCATGTCTCAGAAGAAAGAAAATTGCCTAAAAGAGCATTATTTCAACAGAAATACAAGACTTGAAGTTCCC